TCTTTCTTATGGTGGAGTCATGAACACTCACCTTAACTGAGGCAAGTGAGGCCTGCAGTTCTTTGGATGTTGTTGTGGGGTCTTTTGTGACCTCTTGGATGAGTTGTCGCTGCGCTCTTGGGGTAATTTTGGTCGGCCGGCCACTCCTGGGAAGGTTCTCCACTGTTCCATGTTTTCGCCATTTGTGGATAATGGCTCTCACTGTGGTTCGCTGCAGTCCCAAAGCTTTAGAAATGGCTTTATAACCTTTTCCAAACTGATAGAGCTCAATTATTCTCTTTCTCATTTGGTTTTGAATTTCTTTGGATCTCGGCATGATGTCTAGCTTTTGAGGATCTCTGCAGTCCCCAAGCTTTAGAAATGGCTTTATAACCTTTTCCGGACTGATAGAGCTCCATTATTCTCTTTCTCATTTGTTTTTGAATTTCTTTGGATCTCGGCATGATGTCTAGCTTTTGAGGATCTTTTGGTCTACTTCACTTTGTCAGGCAGGTCCTATTTAAGTGATTTCTTGATTGCGAACAGGTGTGGCAAGAGAAATTGAACTCAGGTGCGATAAACCAGTGTTTTGACAGGGGGGCAAACACTTGTTCACACAGGGCTCTATAGTTTTGGATTTTGTTTTCCCTTAATAATAAAAACCTTCATTTAAAAACTGCATGATGTGTTTACTTGTGTTATCTTTGACTAATATATAAATTTGTTTGACGATCTGAAACATTACAGTGTGACAAACATGCAAAAAGATAAGAAATCAGTAAGGGGGCAAACACTTTTTCACACCACTGTATGTAGGAGTGAGGAATCACTCCTACATGTATAATCATCTATAGATTATACACATCTGTGGAGTCCAGCAATTTTTAGTAATCTCTACTGTTTATGGGTGCAGAGCGTTTGCATTTTCGAGAGTAGCTCTGACATCATAAGGACTGGAGTTAGGCAGCGTTCACACCACCCATGCAAAATAGGTAGTATTGAAGCTTGGTGATGTAGTGAGCACTTGCAGGGTTAGTTGGTGGTAAATGGTGGTGTAGACGCTGGGCTAATTTAGGTGTGCAAATGTGAGCAGCAGGGATGCGGTGATGGCTCTGCGGGTGTTGAAGATGTCCGTAAAGGAAGGCAGAGGAGCCCCTGTGCTCAGCGTGATGGTCTTGGAGATGTTGCTGCCGACTCGCACATTTTGTGTTTTCTGCGTCAGCAATGGGTCCCCTGGGTCTCCATGATCTTGCTGGCTGTTTTCACTATGCATTGAAGGGTGCTTCTACAGGAGGCAGTAAGGCTCCGTACCACACAGTGATGCAGCCAGTGATGATGCTCTCAATGGTGCCCTGGTAGAAAGAGCGCATGATGGGGGGTGGGGCACTGGCTCAACTCAGTTTGCGGAGTAGAGGTGTGTTTGAGCTTTCTTGGCCAGTGTTATGTTGTGGTTGGTCCAGGAGAGGTCACCAGAGATGTGCACTGTAATATTTGAGTGATATAAACTTAAGTTTCTTGTCTTATTTTTTTATACCTTACTTATATATAGCACTATTGCATTGATGAATGCTAAAACTGCCTAGTCTTTCCTGTCTGTTAAAGAATGTGTATGCAGGAAGTCTGCACTTTGAAGTTGACTAAATGTCTGGTATTTACTTGTTTGTTTGTTAGGGTTTTTATAGACAAGATATCTGCCCTTTGAAGATGACCAGATGTTCGTGTTTTTGTTAGCTACCGCCTGACATGACAACACTCCACACACCATTTGATTAGCATATTTAGTAGCTGATGTGAGCAGAAGTTGGCCTGCTTACACCTATGGCCAATAGCATTAAGATACGTGTAAGTCTAACCTCTGTCCGGGGAGCTTCCTGCTCACGAAGATAAATGGAACTACAGACTGTCACTCTTTGATGACAGGGTTCCTGCGGAAGTTCTATCACTCGGAGCCCAGCGCTGTACTGCTTTACCAGACCAGACCAGACTTCGATTACATTTTCTGTTGCTTTTATACAGTCCTCTTCTGTTTTTGTTCTCGGGCTTTCAGTTAAATAACTGGGTCTAACAGCACCCCCAGGAACTTGGTGCTGCTCCACTACAGCACTATCGATGGCCAGTGGTGGATGCTTTAAAGGTTTTCTCATGAAGTCCACAATGACCTCTTTAGTCTTCCCCACACTGAGGGAGAGGTTGTTGTCCTTACACCACTGGACCAGTTGGCACAACTCACTCCTGTAGTTGGCCTCATCATTGTTGGTAAATGAGGCCATATACAGTCGTGTCATCCGCAAACTTGACAGTGTGGTTGGTACTGTAAGTTGGCACACAGTCGTGGGTCAGCAGTGTGAAGAGCAAAGGGCTGAGCACACACCCCTGCGGAGCCCCTGTGCTCAGTGTGATGGTCTTGGAGATGTTGCTGCTGACCCGTACATTTTGTGGTTTCTGTGTCAGCAGTGGGTCCCCCTGGTCTTCTACCATAGTGTCCCTTGTCAATCAGGTGGCGACAGATAGTGTGAGCTGACACTGTTGCACCCTGCAGGTCAGCTTGAATTTGTCTGGAAGTTGATCGCGGTTCTTTACCCACCATTCAAACAATCCTTTGTTGCAATCTGTCATCTATTTTTCTCTTTAGTTCACATCCAGGGAGATTGGCTACAGCGCCATGGGCTGCAAACTTGACTGACAATGTTGCACCCAGTGAACATAGGAACAACCAGATCTCTAGAGATGGACTTGGAGCCTTGAGACTGTCCAGGCTTTTCCACTATTGTGCTTCTCAAATCCTCAGACAATTCTTTGCTCTTCTTTCTTCTCTCCATGCTCAGTGTGGTCCACATGACAAAGGTTACGTGCTCCACACACTGTGCTTTTGTGTTTTGGTGTAGAAATGGTAAATTTTATTCTTTTGTCAAGTGGTGCTATATGACAGCTGCCACCTTTTGTTATCCAGTGGTCAACCAGGGATATTTAAACTGGAGTGGTTACACAAACTGTGTTCACAACAATAACCCACCACCACCACCACCAAATGTTATTAAAAACAGTAGGCAACAATTCAAGGTAATGTCAATTGAACAGAATTTGATCAAACCGTAGGCATTATTAAACTCTTTTACTGAGGCCCCAGTATTGATCTGCTGTGCCCCAATAAACTTGCACGCTTGAGTTTTAACAAGCTCCTATATTTGGCAGTGGAATTTAGATTGATAATAATAGGGAAAGGATTTGTTGTTCTAATCCAGAATGTCAAAGCAAAATACAAGCTGAGGCACAAGTGAGTCAGGATTTGTACACCACTGTGCACACATACTGTATGGCCGTCACACACATCATAGCTGGTGCACTGCAGCGCACATGCAGCAATCCTGGCATGTGAAACAAAAGAAAGGAATGGATTTGGCTCTGGACACACTCCTTGGATATCTTTTGTATTTTCATTGCTTAATTATTTCTGCTCTTGTTCCTCCACAGTTTTATCTGCTTGATCTGTGTAACATCTGTGCAGTGGAGCTTTAATGTGTGTGTGGTAGCTTGCTTTCTTTGGCGTGGTTGTTATATTACACTACTAGCTCATTATGTATTGGTTTTTAGCTCATAAAGCAGGTACTGCCCCTGATTTAAATGGTAGTATGAGCAGAACTCCCAGTTTGCTGGTAATCCATCAGACCTGGTCCTGTATTTACTATTGTACTGTGACGTTTATAGTGAGTTTATGTTGTAATCTCACTCTGTTGGCTACTCTCATGGATGATTTTTGTCATGGTGACTTGTCCAAAACGAACAACTCTACATCTCTATAGACAGGTGTAGGAGGAGGGGGAGGGGACAGGGTTAGATAACTATGGAGATGGCCTCATACCTGAGAGGTGTGAATTGCCATGACCACTTCATTTAAATACAAATAACTTATCTCAAGCTCCTGGCTGGAAATTGTGCTGTTTGTCCCTCTCTACATCTTGAAACTGTGCTCCCTCTTCCATTCCATTTTGTTTTATAAGCTCTGTTTCATTTACAAAGCTTCTTCCGGCTCTTTCAAACCAGGAACTCACAAAGACGAAGTAGAC